CTGTATACACTGAACCAAATTTGTAGTCTTTTATTCCTCACCTCCCGGGGAAGGCTCTCTTGAGGAAGAGATGGTTAAGCTGAGGATGGTGGGAGCTGACCAGGTAAAAGTGAAGAGGAGAAGGCATTGCAGGCAAAGGGAATCATATGTGCAAAGGTTTAACGGTGATAAAGACATGAAACATTTAGAAATGAAAGGAGCTACAGTCAGGGATGGGAGGGAGTGGAGACAGATGAGGCCAGGGAGGGGCAGTTCATGCACGGCTTTGAGGGCATAGTGAGGAGTTGGGACTCCTTCACAAGGGCAATGGGGAGCTATGGAAGGATTCTGAGTATGGGAGAATTGAGGCCAGATTTGCATTTAGGAAGATCCCTCTTGAGGACTGCAGGGATTGCTGAGGGATGGGGGAAGCAGGAAGCCCTGGGAGGTCACTGCAGCTGTCCCGTGAGAGCTGACAGAAATGGGTTCCAGCAGATCGACTGAAGAGATGTTCTGCGGGGAGAGCCGGCAGGCCTTGGTAATGGAGTAGAATTAGGCTGGAAGGTGGGGAGTGGCCAGGGTTCAGGTACCCAGATAGCAGAAGTATGTAGGGCTGAGCTGATGAATGTGATGTTTGGGGTGTGTTGAGTTTGAGGTGCTCGGGGGCCATCCAGGAGACAGCGCCCAGCAGGCAGCTTGATGAGCAGACTTGGGGTTCAGAGGAAGACCCGGAGCCACTATGCTGAGGCCATGGAAGGGGAAAGTGGGACATGAGGAAGTAGGTTCAGAAGTGAGTGCTGGGAGCCCCAGCAGAGGAGGGGACAGGATGGAGGCTGAGAAGCAAAGGGCTGGGAGGAGTTGCAGGGCAGGCAGCAGAGATTCTGGAAGCCAAGTGAGAGTGTTTCAAGGAGGAGGGAGGGCCTACGAGATGCAGACCCACCCAGACCCATCCAGGAGCCAAAGAAGATGAAGACAGTGACATATGCTTGGATTTGGCAACTTAGGCATTATCAAGAGGGACAGAAGCCAGACTGGTCATGGGGGGCTGCGAGGCTGAGAGGGAGGGAGTTGGTGTGAGGAGGCTCTCCAGGTGCTTCCCACTGTGGAAAGAGGGGGAGGCCACAGAAGGAGGGGCTGGAGGTGACTTTGGTGTTTTGGGGGGGGCGGGGGTGTGTGGGTGTGTGGTTGGTTGCTTATTGCTCAGGGAAGACAGCCCAGAATTGAAATGATGGCAACTGTCCCCCGACAATGCCAGAAGGTCCTCCAGGGGGATCTTTCTAAATGCAAATCTGGTCTTTTTTGTTTTTTCTCTTCTCTATAGATGAGCTCTCACTATGTTGCCCAGGCTGGTCTCGAACTCTTGGGCTCAAGTGATCCTCCTGCCTTGACCTCCCAAAGTGGTAGGATTACAGTTGAGGCACAGCTCCTGGCCATAAATCTGGTTTTGACCCTCCCTTACCATAGCTCCCCATTACCCTTGTGAAAGAGTTCCAACTCTTCGTCATGGCTGCAAAGCCATGCATGAACTGCCCTTCCCGGGCCTCATCTGCCTCCACTCCCTCTCCTCCCCCAGTTTAGTAGTTTTCGTCTCTAAATGCTTCATGTCTTTATCACCATTAGACCTTTGCACATGTGGTTCCCTTTGCCTGCAACACCTTGTCCTCTTCACCTTTCCCTGGCAAGTTCCCACCATCCTCAGCTTAACCATCTCTTTCTCAAGAAAGGAGCCAGTTTGGAAGAAGTTAATGATGACTGGGGAAAGGGAGGACATTCCTGCAGGAGGTCCCTGAGAAGGGCTGGTGTTGGGAGCACCAAAAAGGTTCCTGAGCTGCAGAGGTTGGTGGGTTTGGGGGTGGGAGGCTGAGGGAATTCCCATGAGTGCATTGGTGGAGTGGGAGAAGAGGTCCTCTGAGAGGGAAGGGTGGTGCAGGTTGTGGCAGCCTTGGCTGATTGTTATAAGAGAGTGTCCGAGGGTCCCTTACATGTAGAGAAGATTATCCTCAGTCCTAGAGGCCAGAGAGTGGCCCAGGGTCACACAGCTATCGGTCAGTCCCAGTACCGGGGCCACTTGTGTCCAGAACCTGCCCAGTGCTGAGTGTCTCCAGTCCCCTGCCCCCTTACCCTGAAGAGTGCTGAGTCCTGCTGCGCCTGGTAGCCCTGCTTGGCTATGTGCTTCCAGGGGATGCAAAAGAGGGTCTCGTCCACATCCTCCCAGCGTAACCCCATGTAGCATCCACTCTCAATCTGCGCCACCCCAGTCCCAGAGGCGCAGGGGACCTCTGGCTCTGCCATGGGTCACCTGCCATCGGGGACCTTTCCTTCCTTCTGGCCATCAGGGATGCAGTGCCCAGGGGGCCAGGTCTTGGGCTCGCAGTGGCTGGATCCACGTGGGCCTGGGGACTACGGGCCACCTGGATGATGCTTGGAGGCTATGAAAGTGAAAATCTGGGTGGGCAGGTTTCACTTTGTCTTTTGTCCCCTCTCCTGGGAGGCCCTTTCCTTTTGCCCCTCCCCATAGCAGCCTAGCCTGGAGGGCGTTGATCCTCTTTTATGGGGCTGCAGGAGGCGCTGTGGGTCACAAGACCCACCCAAGTTGGGTAGCCTGGGCTCTGCAGGTCTCAGGAGGCGGGCCCCCACTAGCTTCCAGAGACACAGCTTTGCCCCACCCTACAACTGTCACCTGCTCTTCCCAGCCCACCTGCAAACTTGTCAGTCTCTTTCCAGGACCTGGACTGTTGAGGTTGGAAAGGCAAGGGCTTCTCAAACTAACGCCTGCCAGAACTGAGAGGCAGCAACTTGTTTCAAATGCACACTCATGACCTCCATCCCAGACCGGCAGAATCAGACTTTCTGGGCAGGAAGCCCAGGAAACCCACAATGTAATGAGTTCCCCCATGAGGTTCTGATGCAGGTGGTCCGGGGGTCACACTTACTTCCGTAAATATTAGGAGTTCCCACTGACTGATTGCTCATCACAGTGCTGGGCCTGGCTAAACACTTTCCTGCAGTGTCTCAATTGGTTCTCACAACAGCTTATGAGGTTGGTATAATGCCCTGTTTTAATGTTAAGACTGAGCTCAGAGAGGTTAAACCCTCTAACAAGTTCACAGGACTAGTGGGTAGTGCAGCCAGGAGCCAAAATGTGTGCCCCACACTGCCTGCCGACAGCTACACCTGCACTTCGTGGATTCTTGGTGGGGGTCTCTGACCCCCAAAAGTGAATGTAAATTTCATGTCTATGCATTTTTTTCTGGGGTTTGCATCTTTCATTAAATTGTCAAAGGAGATGTGGGATATGAAAGAGATCAAGTTGCTCAGATTGCTCCATTCCTTGCTGTATTCATGGAACTGAGGCTCTGAGAGAGAACGCCCCCCACTCCCTGCACCTCTGCACAGCAGTGGGCACAGAGTTGGGCACCTTGCCAGCATTGACCAGAGACTGGAAGCATTGTTCCTGATGTGTACCTGCTAGGAGGGCTTTCTTCGTGCTCCTCCTTTCCTCTAGCCCCATATTCCAGTAGCCGCCTGGCTCTTGAAGCATCTGGAAGGATTGATCTGGAACATCAGATCAGTCCTATAGACGATGGGGGGGCCATGGAGGCTTCTTTCTTTTTTTTTCCAAACAGGGTCTCGCTCTGTCGCCCAGGCTGGAGTGCAGTGGTGCGATCTTGGCTCACTGCAGCCTCCGCCTCCATGGAAACTTTTAAATAGGGGAAGACACCATCAGAGATAGAAGGTGTTTTAAATGGGGCATCTGGTTGCCATTTAAACTAACCAGCCTGGAGGACTGCGGGCTCCCTGCACTCTGGTAAGTCCAGCCACTTTGCTCTTCACATTAACTGTGAAGGGAAAGACCCTAACTCATGACGGTAGGTAGTTAGGAAGTAACTCCTTCTGGTTTTGGAGGCTACTGGCAAGGAGGTTACGAACTCATGGCCTTTCCCTTAATGTTCTGCCTGCCTGGAATGCTTCCCCCAGATAACCAAATGGTCCACTCCCTCACCACCCGGCGTATTTTTTATCTGGTATCTTCCCGACCGGAATGGCAGCTACCTGAAAGCAGAGGTTTTGCTCATTGCTATATACCGAGGGCTGAACACAATGGCTGGCACACAGTAGGTACTCAATGGACATTTGTTGCATGAATGAGGAGTAGGAAGTTGGGGTGGCAGCTGAAGGTTATTTTGTCCATCCCCCAACTCCAGTGCTGGAATCGGTGCCTCCCCGGCAGCCCTGAGCACAGTGGTTTGTGCATATTAAGAATCCCATACAAGGGGCTATTGGGTTATAGCTATTTTCAATCCCTCTCAACTTTGGGTATAGTTTTGGAAATATCAGCTGCAGTGACTTCTACTCATCCTCAGAGCCAGCTACTGCTTTGATGGGCAGCCCTGGCCTTTAAAATCTTGGCAGGAAGGGTCATTCCCACTGGCTGGGGGTGGAGCCTCCTTGTCAGGAACCTCCCAAACCAGAGGAGCTACTTCCTAACTACCTGCCATCGTGGGACTGAGACTGACTAAGCTAGCGTCCAGCTTCCCCTGCTCTGGCTGTGTGTGCTCGGGCAAGCTGCCTGATCTCTCTGAGCCTCTGTTTCCTCCCTGAGGATTAAGTAAACTCATGCAGTAAAAGGTCAGGATGAGGGAGGCACTACCTTATCTTCCTAGCTAGTATTTGTGCACAGGGATGGGAAGGGAGTCGGGGAGCGGAGGGGCCACTCAGGGTGGAGGAGAGGGATTCAAAAGGTGGCAGGAGGTTCCGAGATAAGGAGGAACTCGGGCCTTGTCAGGCGGGACACGGTGGCTTTGGGAGAGATGTATGTTAGGTGGGAGAGGGGAGGTGTTAGAGAAGGAGGTGCGGTCCCAGGTGGCAACTCTGCAGACTGCAGTTGCGGGAGGGTGGTGGGCTCCTCAGGCCCCCAGGGGATGCAGGCTCCCTCGCATCCCCTTTCCTGCAGGCTGCTGGCCCCTGGCAGAGTCCCGCTGGTGCTGCCCCGCCTTTGTTGAATGACTGGGAGGCACTCGGACAGGCAGCTTCTTCTGTGTCTCTTTAATACCCTCCAGGCCCGTCCAACCCTCCACTCCCCCTCCCTCCCCTCCCGCCGCCTTTAAGGGTGGGCCCCCTCCCCCAGCCCACGGACTAAGGCACCAGGTGGCTGCAGCCGGCCGGCCCGGACACAGAGACGCACAGGTTGGGGATGCTGACTGCAGACGCGGATGAGCAGGGCGGGCGAGGGAGGCAGGGTTCAGGCCGCCGCGGGGCTCCCCCAGCCTCTGGGCCCATCCTGGGGCGCGTGGAAGGCGCCGACAGCCCCCGAAGGCAGCCAGTTGGGAGGAAGTGGGGAGCCACGGCGGGACTGCATCCTCACTTGCCGCCCTTGCGGGACAGACACCGAGGGAGGCACGAGAAAGTCTGCTTGACGCGCGCCAGCAGCGGCAGCGGCCGCTGGGCTTCCCGGGGCGTGCGCGGCACCAGGCGCTGCAGGGTTCCCTCGGAAGCTGCGGAGTGCGGCCCAGTGGAGGAGGCCGAGGTCGCAGAGCCCTGCCGGCAGCGCTTGCATAGCGGCAGCAGCGCGCGCAACTCCTCCTCGTCGCGGAAGGGGCTCTCGCCGAAGCGCTCCTCCAGTTGCCGGCGAAGCTTGGGTGGGCGGGTGAGGTGGGCGGGGTCAAGGCCGGCCGCGGGACTGGGTCAAGGCAGCCGGCCCCGCCCCCACCCTCCCGACCTTCGCCCTTCTCCGAGCGTCCCATACCTCGCTGAGCCCCTCCCTTCCTGAGCGTCTTCTTTGCCTCCCGTCTCCCGGGTTTCCATCCCGTCACTGAGTTCCTCTTCCCTTCTAGGAGGCCCTTCCCTCTCCCTGACCCCTCTTCCGCCTTTGACACTCCCGTTTCCAGACCTGCTAAATTGACCCCAGGCGCCCAGCCGGGATCACTCCTCCCTCTTTGCACTTCTGGGTAACTCCTCCCGCTTTGCACCTCTGTGCTCACAACCCCATTCCCACAGGTTTCTTCCTTGCCCGACTCTTTCCCAACGCCGTCCAGCAGATAAGCCTCTGGGTACCGCCCTCAACCTGCTGAGAGCCCTCCCCCTCTCATCCTTTGTTCCCAGGGAAGCTTAGTTCCTGACATTTCTACGTGGCATCTGCCCAAGAGGTATAAGAGGGAAACTGCTGTGGTCTCATCAAGGACACAGGGGTGGAGTAGGACATAGACAGTTCTCCCCGATGGGGTCAAACACTCAAATCCTTCAGGTTCCAGCCAGGTAGGACAGGCAGTGGGAAGTGCTGGAAGACCTAGTCAAATGGGAGGGCCCGCACTGATCTAAAGGCATTCAAATTCTAAATTGAAAAAGAAAACACCTGGCTGTCTGACAAAATACACCTAGGAGCTGGATTAGCTCAAAGGCCATGAGTTTGAGACCCTAGAAAAATCCGGGTCTGAGGCACAGGCTAAATTTGTTCCAATCAGTGATCAGTTTGAGTGGGAAGAAGGATCTCCCACCCATGGCCCAACCCAGCCCTTGACCCCATCCATCCCTACCTTCTGGGAACTGCCCCAGCCAAACTCTTCAAGCTGCTGCCTAAAGCCTGGGTTGGGGTTGGCGATGGGCCGGGTGGCCTTGATGGCTTCAAGCACGTCCCGCCAGCCTAGCCCCGTCACAGTCATCACATACGCCGTCACAATCGTGGTGCTGCGAGAGATGCCTGCAAAGCTGGGATCCCCGACAACCCCTCAGGCTTCAAGTAAGATCCAGTGTCCTCCATGCCCCCCACGCACCCCACCCTGCTTCAGCTCTCCCACCCTTGCCTCCTGAGCTCCAACCATAAGGGACCTGTCAGGACTTGCCATCCCACCTCCAGGCCTTTGCCATGCTGTTCCCTCTGCCTAGAGCACCCCCTGGGTTCTCCCACATCAAAGGCCTGAGTGAAACACCATTCATTCAGTCAACAAATATGTCCTGAGCATCTGTTCTTTTTCAGGCACTGGGAATGTAGCGGGTATAAAACAGACACGGTCTTTGCTGTCCTGGAGCTTACAGTATGGCTGGGGGGACAGACATTGATCAGAGAATCAATTCCAGGTGGTGATAATAGCTTTGAGGATGAGTCTGGGGGCTAGGAGATCCACATAGGAAGAGGTATTAATCTATAGGTGGAGTGGGGTTAGGGAAGGGGTTCCCAAGGAATAGACATCAATGAAGTTTGAAAGATGGATAAGGGTTACTCAGGAACCTTGTGGGCAGTGTGTACAAAGACCATGAGGCATAAGCCTTGTAGATTTGGAAGATGGGGAGGAGGTTAGTACAGCTGGAAAGGGGAAGGAGGGAGAGGGTGGGAGATGAGACTTGGGAAACCAGCCTCGTTGCTGGGCCTCCAGCAGAGCCAGCCTGAGCCTGGATAGGATGGGCGCTCAGCGAGAAGTTAAGAAATGAATGACATCAACTGAGCGAGGGGCACCTGGGAAGACCCAGAATTCCTGTCTCCCAGCTTGGGGTTCCTCACTGCCCTGCACCATCACCTCCAAGGCCTGGAGGGGAGGAGAGAGGCCCAGAACTACTGGAGGGTGAACTACTTGCATGACCTCACTGTTCCTCCCAACAGTCCCGTCAGGTCAGCTTTCTTTCTTTTCCCCACTTTACAGATGAGGACATTGAGTCTCCGAAAGAAACAGCCACTTGGCTATGGCCACACAGCTCATAAGGAATAGAGCCCTGGGTTGGCTGCTCTCCAGTGAATGGTGGGCCCTCAGGCACTGTGACAGGCTGGAGAAGATCCTTCACAGGTTCAACCTTCCCATAGGATGAGTATGTGTTCAACAGAGGGCACAGCCACTTCCTTCCTCCCCCACCTTACCCCCCAACCTTGACTCACCAGTGCACAAGGCAGTTCCCCCCATTAAGGCGGCAGCAGTGGATGAAGTTGATACATTCTTTGAAGTGCTTTTTGCTAGAGGAGAAAGCAATAGGGTAGGGAGCACTGTGGAGCAGATCTCTCAGGAGTTGTTCCACCCCCACCCCAATTACAGGATAGCAAGGGACACAGAGCACTGGGTTCCCCAGGTCAGCCAGCACATGCAGTGAATAGGGGCCAGTACTTAGCATGAGCTGGAGGTGTGTGTGTGTGAAGCAAGAATGGTGGCATTTCAGGCAGTGAGAGAGGCCAGTCAGGGCCAATCTCACCATCTAGGCAGGAGCACTCCTCCTGTGGACCCTGTTATCATGATGGGTTTATTGTGGCCTTTCAAAGAAATGGGTGGGAGGAAATACAAGGGTCCCACTCCTCTGGGGTCTGCAATCAGAGCACCTGGGCACAATGACGGGCAGCAGCGGGCTGGGAGCAAGATTCCCAAGGGGCAGGACTGTCTGCCTGGCTCCATCCCAAGCGGGGACGCATGACTACTGATGTTACAAACAAAAATCCCATTTTCTGAGCTTGGTTATACTTCAGGCCCTATGCTAGATCCTTGACCTCTGTCATCTGATCTTTGAAAGCCTCCTTGACTCTGATCATGCACTCTGGATTTACAGGTGAGGCTCAGAGAGGGGAAGTGATTTGTTCAAGGTCACACAGCAAGTAAATGGCAAAGCCTGGCTGGAACCCAGATGTCTTAACCCCAAGGCCAGGAACAGACTGAACGTGACCCTTTCAAATCAGCTGGTGTAGCTGGTCCCAAGGTACAGAGTGTCTTTTTCCCATTTCATACTGATGAGACTGAGGCTCGGGGAGGTCGAGAGTCTTGGCCAAGGGCATATCACAAGGGCATGATTGAGACAGAGTCAAACCTGGGACTGGTTGAGCTGACCACCTGTGATAACTTTCTGGCCTGAGTACTTTGTCCTCCTTCAAACCCCCTCCCCTTCGCCCACCACAGGAGGCGGCTGTCTGTCCATCTGTGGGTCCATCCAGGGGAACTTACATGGGTACCTCAGGGGTATCAGCCACCGGGATGCGAAGGTAGGTGATATCCTACAAGTACAAAATACACTCAGGCAGGGGACCTTGCTTGCAACCCTCCCTGACGCTGGTCTGAGCTGCCCAGGCAGGGCATGACCCCAGCCCAGTTCCTGCCCCTCTCTGGCCCACCGTGGTCCTCTCTGTCCAAAGAAAGTAGTCATCTCTGAGGCCTCCCAGCTGTGACCACTTGTGATTCCTGAACCTTCTAAGCAGATGGTGTCTCCTAACCCCATCAGCGACTTGGGCATGAGGTCTTCTATCCCTCCCAACAGGGACCCAGGAACCTTTATCAAATCACCAGGAAAGGGCTACTTAAAGGGACTCCACTCCAAATGCAAATTACAAAATTACTTCGTAAAAAAGGTAAAGCAGATTTGATTATCTTGAAGAGAAACAAAAATCATGAAAACAAGTATACATTTCATGAATCCTGGTTATAAAATGATGTGCTAATTGTGAGAATAATCAAGGAATAAATTGTCAGGATTTTTTTCCAACAAACTTGCTGTGATGTCCTTTATTTCCTGATTAGCCATACAATATCATGAAGATTATTTTTGCCCACCTCCTGAGGACCTCCTTGCTTTTCTCAAGAAACCATCTTAACATTTTGGCTCTAACACATGGCTCTTTTCAGGGGCCAGGCCCACCACTGGCAGTAACTAAGGGACCACCAGCCAGGTTCTCATTTATCCATGGCTTTGTGTGAGATTCCAGCCCTTCTCTCACTCACATTCCCCAAGGTCATGACATCCTGCATCTTTGGCAAAGTTTGCAATTTCACTTTGCAACACATTTGGCCTTGGGTTTGTGTGGTGCTATCAAACCTTGCCTGGTAAATGCGCTGATGGAGCGGGAGGGAGGAGAGATGCTTGGGAGAAGCAGGAAGGGCCGTAGGAGCAGAGACTCACTGTGTAGACTGTCATTTCATTAGTAAATACACTCATGACTTGACAACCTTCCCCATGCAATCTAGTGACTGTTTACTCCAAATACTCCCAAACGAGGCTGCCCTAGGAGGCAAAATAAGACTCCAATGGCCTGGAAATTTCTTCTCTGAATGACATTGAAAATCGTAGATTATTGGAGGTTGCTGTTAGAGAATATCAAATCTGACATATGGGAAAACTGAGGCCTAGAGAAGGGAAGGACCTTGGCCAAGGTCACATGGCAAGTCTATGGCAGAACCGGATCTTCGTTTCAGATCTCCAGGACCTTTTCCCACCCATGGTTCTTTCTCTCCAGTGGATGATACAGACTCTAATAGATAAGGGAGAAGAGGCTCTGTTCATGGGATAAGAATATGATTAACTTTGTTATAGTATCAGTTGTGATTTTTTGGGTACCTATTTATGTAGTTCCCAACCACTCAGTGAAGTGGGTACTGTTACAAAGTTCCCATTTTACAGATCAGACAACTGAGGCTCAGAGGGGGCAAAGTCCTGTCTGCAAGATCATAAAACAAATAAACGGTGAAGATGTTCCTGACATAAGCACGTGTAGTCTGGATTTATTACTTTCCTCTGCTGGGTCCTAACACCCTCATGCCCCTTTCCCAGGAGTTGATAATACCAGCACCAACCGCTCTAGAGGGGACCACACTTTACAGTGTGCAAAGCACCTTCACCATCTTGCAGTCCCTGTGCATCCTCACAACAGCCCCCTGGGGGCAGACAGAGCTGAGGGATCGAAGCCCTAGAGAGGTGAAGTCACAGTCCAAGGTTGCATAGCAAGACACAGAGCCCAGAGTCATCCGTTTGGATTCATCCATCCAGTTGGGCCATGGGGAGCCCATATGGGGGCCATTTTAAGGTTCTGTGTGAGACTTTGGTGCTAGATGGCCTGTGTTTGTACCCCAACTCCTCAGCTTCCTGGATAGGTGACCTGAGGTGAGTTAATTGACCTCTCGGGGCGTCAGCTGCCAAATAGGAATGATAATGTAAAATGGCCCAGTGGTGGAGACCAAATGAGTTAACATGAGTCAAGAAGGAAGCATAGCACCTAGCACATAGTAGATATTTGATAAACGGGTCTGCACCCTCCCACCCTGCATAGCCCTGGGATGGGGGTAAGAAGTACCTGCAGCAGAGGCTGGGGTGACTCATGGATAGAGATGATGTGTGTGATCTTATTCCGGCCCAGCTGATCCAGGTCTTTGGCATCTGAAAGAAACAGGATGCTTGAGCCAATCTGGCTGGCATGACTTATTTGTCCCTGATGGCCAAGTGTGGAGGGAGCTCACTGCCTGCCCAGCTCTCCCCCTCACCCCACCACTCCACTTTGGCCTACCCTCTGCCGGCTCCCTGATCCTCTTGCTTCTGAGGCACATGCAAATAACAGTCCAGCATCTCCCCATCCTTGCTCATGCTGTTCTTTTCATCCAAAATACCCTTCCCAGGCATATTCTCTGACCCAGCAATTCTACTTCTAGGAATCTTGTCTATGGAAGCACTTGCTCACACACAAAGCCGTGTGTGGAGGATGATGTTCTCTGCAGTCCTGCTTATATCACAAATAGTTTAAACATGGGAACAACCTAGTGTTCATTAAAAAGGGACTATATGATTAATGGTGTAGGCATACTTTGGCACAGCATGCAGCCATTAAAAAGAGTTATATATGTTGATGTGCAATGATGCCCACAATGTATTTTTAAGGATACAGAATAAGCTTCCACTTTTATTTTAAATATTATGTCTTTATCTACAAAGATATATGAACAAGGGATGTACCCAACAGTGGCTCTCTCTAGGGGCTGCATACCCAGCATATGCAGACCTTTTATATTTGGAATAAATAACACATGTCCCCTCTGTCTCCATTTCCTCATTTGATGAGCATTTACCGAGTGCTAATCATTTGTATACTTTGGCTGGGCACTGGAGGTCTGGGGCCAGCTTCGTAGCTCCTGCCCTTATGGGGCCTGCACACTTACAGAGGATTCAGACCTTACTTGGCCAAATACTCACAGAAATCAATGTGGCATGAGCAGCTGAGGGAGCTCCCAGGAAGGAAGGGACCAGAATTTACGAGGGTAAAGCACCTGAGCCCCTCCCTCTCTGAAGCTTTCTCTGACTCTGCAGATGGAAATGATTTTCTCACCTTGGGTCACCCAAGCCCTGGACCAGTGTGCCCCTTAGCATGTTTTCTTTTTCTTTTTTCTTTTTTTTTTTTTTGAGACAGAGTCTCGCTCTGTCGCCCAGGCTGGAGTGCAGTGGCACGATCTCGGCTCACTGCAACCCCTGCCTCCTGGGTTCAAACGATTCTCCTGCCTCAGCCTCCCGAGTAGCTGGGATTACAGGTGCCCACCACCATGCCTGGCTGATTTTTGTATTTTTAGTAGAGACGGGGTTTCACCATGTTGGCCAAGCTGGTCTCAAACTCCTGACCTCAGGTGGTCTGCCCGCCTCCGCCTCCCAAAGTGCTGGGATTAAAGGTGCGAGCCACTGTGCCCGGCCCCCTTAGCATGTTTTCTACCAAGCATGTTTTCTCCTCAAGGTCTATGTTCAGCTGTGCCTGCCAGCCACCAGCCTGGAAGCCACTGAGGAACAACGTATCTATACATGGGTGTCCCCTCCTCCTGACTGAAGATTGCGGAAGGAATGGATGAGAGAGTGGGGAATGTAAAGCTTGCCAGTTCACCCCCGCCAACTTCCAGCTCCAGGCTGCCCACCTGCTTCAGGGCTCTGGGGTGTGACGGGATTGGTGCTCATGACCCTGCTCACAAGAGGGCCCAGCCCGTCTCCAGAGAGACCTCTCCTCTGACAAGGAGGAAGTTAAGAGGGGAAGAGTTCCCAGCTTCCCGGCTGGAAGCAGCACCCCTAAACAGACTTCAACCCAGAACCTCAGGGTCAGAAGAGCCCTCAGCGGCTGGTAGACCTTTTGTGCTGAGGAGGAGGCTGAGGCTTAGTGCGGGTGTAGACTTGCTCAGGTCCACAGCCCAGGCCCCCAGCCCTTTGCTCTGTTCCTTTGGTCTTGTGGTAGAACACTGGGTAAGGCTGAATGGCAGGGAGGGATGTCAACGTCAGGTCCCCATGCTCCCTCCATGTCTCTTCGAGCCTGGGGACATTCACCTGCACATGCACCCCTTGTCCTTCATCAGCTTTTTCCTCCTCCCAGCCTGCAGCCGCTTCCCTACCCCCAACCCCATTCCTGAGATACACGGGCCAGGGCATGAATGGTGGACACAGGCCTGAGACAGGCAGAGTGCCATGGCCTCGGGACAGAGTGGGCAGTGCTCACCAATGAAGTTTCCGAGGTAGAGTCCGGGAAGTACCTAGAGGAAGGACAGGCAGGGGTCAGTGGGGCAGAGGCACCCCCTTCCACCCCCAGGGCAGCTGGGGGGCCCACAGCCCCTCACTGTCCTATGAAGGGTATGAACCTCAGGGCTCAGGGAGCACTCGCTTCCCTTTTGTGGGCCCTGGGTCCTCTGTGAGAGGGGTCTGGGGCTCTGGGGAGGGTAGGCGAGGGGGCCAGTTAACCAACCGAGGGAACCAAGGGAGGCCAGCTTGGGTATAAGAGGGGAGAGGAGGAAGGCAGGTCTTAGGAGGAGAGGAGAGAGGTGGACTTGCAGGGTGCCGGGATGGACATTTTGGGGCTGGCGAGGCAGAAAGGCAGGGACATGCAGAGGCGGGACAGGATGGAGAAACAGCCCCGGAGACAGCAGGGGAGTCAGCGACAAGGGAGAGGGACACATGTAGACGGAGAGCCGGACTCACTGGGAGACAGCCCGGGAGTGACAGACAAAACAAGACACAGCGAGAGACACAGAGTCTAGGAGAGAGGGCGGACACAGCGGGGACAGAGACGCAGGGTCAGAGAAGGAGAGACCCGACAGCCGCGGTCTCGAGTCACAGGAACACGGAGATGCCGCCGCACAGAGACCGGCGAGACCAGAAGGTCAGAGGCGGGCGGACGGAGCTGGTCAGCGCCGGGCCGCAGCGGCCGGGGCGGGGGCCGGGGAGGCTGCGCGGGGCCCGCCCCCTACCTTGGTCATGCCATTGCCCATGATCCCGGGGGCGGCGGTCCGAGCGCACCCCCAGCTCGTCGCCCGGAAAGCGATCCGGTCACAGCTGCCCTGACGTCCCAGGCCCGGGGCCTGCAGCCTGGCGGGGAACGGGGGGCCCGGCGTCCGCGGCCCTGCCCAGCCCTGCCCAGCCACTGCCACCGCCCGCCGACCCCCGGCCCGGGAGGGAAATGGTGGTGGAGCCGCCGCTGCCGCCGCCGCCGCCACAGGCTCCTCCTACCCCTTCGGTCATGTGGGGCCCCCCCTCGGGTCGCGGCGGGGGGCCGGACAAAGCCCCAGTGTGCCGGGCCCACGGCCCGCGGGACAACGGCAGTTTGTTGGGGCCGCGTGGGGCCGCCACCTCCGGAGGTGGGGGCGGGGGCGCTACCCCACCCTGGCACCGGCAGGCGCGGGCTGATGGGGGGATGTCGCCTAGAGCCCCCCGGCCGGTCCACAAACTCCCGTCCCCCTTCCGGCTCTGCCTGGACCTCCCTGCGGGCCCCGGGGCAAAGCACCCAACTTCTCCCGCCTCGGCTTCCAGCAGAAACGTGACGGGGCTGGACTTTGATCGCCAACGGCTCTCTGCTCTTCAGAGTCTGCTTGGAACGTGATAAGTGGGTAATTCCTTCCGATACATCCCCTCCACCCGTGCAGACACCCTACCAACCAGCCTTCCTCCTTTCCCATCCATTCTCCCACCCTCTTGTTCACTCATTCACCCGTCCATCTTCCCATCCATACATCCACCCTCTCCTTCCTTCCTTCCATCCATTTCAGCCCCTGGGAGGGATGGTGCCATCTAGGTAAGCTCTGGGACCAGGCACAACTGCCATTAGGTGCCCCAAGAAATCACAGGTGAATGTTGGGAGAGGGGTTTCAGGGAGGGTTCCAGTCTAAAGGAGACTACATCAGGATGTATTAATAGCTAGAGGTCAGGGTCCTGGAAGGGGTCTGGAGACCAAGGTTTGAGGCCCTGTTCACCTCTGACCTGCTAGATGACCCTGGGAACGTCCCCATGAGCCCCAGCTAACCCTATCTGTGTATCTGAGGATGTTGAGGTGAGCCTTTCCGGCTCCCAGGACCAAAGCTGGAGAAAGTAAAATAATCAAGACACTTCCTATAGGACTGAAATAGAAGCAGCTGCACCAGCTTTGTTCCTCCAGCCATCACCCCCACCCCTCAATCTATAGTAGTAGGTGACTGGGGATTGTGGATAGAGAGCAGGACAGAGAGAATCCACAGAGCCCTTTGAAATACAGTGATTGGAGAAAAATAAAACTTTCTTTCCTGTTTCTTCCTCCCTCAAGTTCATAGCATACATGGGACTGCCTGTCTCAGCTCTCATAAAAGCCCAGAGTTCTCATAAATACCAAATTATTCAGTAAATACTTACTGAGCATCTAGTATATGATAGAGACTGGGGACACAGCAGTGGGTAGAGATTGTTCCTACCTTCATTAGCTAACGGTCTAGACCAGCATTGTCCAAATGAACTATAATGCCGGCCACATGTACAGCCACATTTAAAAAGCAGAAACAAGTTAATTGTTGATAATATTTTTATTTAACCCAATATATCCAAAATACCATTTCAACATATAGTCAGTATTCTAAAACTATAAATGAGATATTTTATATCCTTTTTAAATTGTATTAACTATTCAAAATCTGCTGTCTTTTACATTTACAGCAAGTCTCAATTCAGACAAGTCACATTCCAAACGCTTACTAGTCATATGCAGCTAGTAGCTACATATTAGACATCTCAGATCTAGAAGGGAAGGCAAACAAAGTAAGCAAAGAGACAAATTATTTACAAATGGTCCCAGTTTTCTATGAAGGAAACAAAGCGGACATGGAGAACCTCTCTGAATAAGTGGCATTTGAGCTGAGAGGTGACGTATAAGAACCCAGCTGTTTAAAGAGCAGAAAGCCAGGTGCGGTGGCTCATGCCTGTAATCCCAACACATGGGGATGCTGAGGCGGGAGGATCACTTGAGCCCAGGAGTTTGAGACCAGCTTAAGCAACATACTAAAACCTCACCTCTAAAAGAAATTTGGCTGGGTATGATGGCTCACATCTGTAATCCCAGAACTTTGGGAGGCCAAGGCAGGAGGACTGTGTGAGCCCAGGAGTTTGAGACCAGCCTGGGAAACACAGGGAGAGCCTGTTTTTACAAAACAAAAACAAAAAAATTAGCCAGGACCTGTAGTCCCAGCTACTCAGGAAGCTGAAGTGGGAGGATCACTTGAGCCCAGGCAGTCGAGATTGCAGCAAGCCATGATCACACCACTGCACTCAAGAATGGGTGACAGAGCGAGACCTTGTCTCAAAAAGTAAAAAATTACGCGCACGCAAAAAAGAAAAAGAGTGGAGAGAGTATTTCCAGCAGAAGGAACAGCATGGGCAAAAGCTCTATGATGGGAATAGCTTGGCCTCTGTAAAAAGCCAGTGGGACTGCAGTAGAGGGAGCTACAGGAGGTGTTAAGAGGACGGTTGGGGGCCAGAGCATGCAGAACCACATATGGCCATGATTGGGAGTTAAAGTTTTTCTTATCTTCTTCTTCTTCTTTTTTTTTTTTTTTTTTAAAGACGGAATTTCACTCTTGTTGCCCAGACTGGAGTGCGATGGCGCGATCTTGGCTCACTGCAACCTCCACCTCCTGGGTTCAAGCAATTCTCCTGCCTCAGCCTCCCAAGTAGCTGGGATTACAGGTGTGTACCACCACGCCCAGCTAATTTTGTATTTTTAGTAGGATGGGGTTTCTCCATGTTGAGGCTGGTCTCAAACTCCTGACCTCAGGTGATCTGCCCGCCTCGGCCTCCCAAAGTGCTGGGATTACGGGTGTGAGCCACCGGGCCTGGCCAGTTTTTCTTCTCTTCTGTCTGATAAAAACCCAACAGGAAAATTTAATCTGGGAGGCCAGGTCATCTGATTTATTTAAGTCAAATACTTTGACCCCTCACTGACCCTTTCCTTTGTGGGGGCCACTGCAGCAGCTCAAGTAAGAGGTGACAGTGCCCTGGGACAGAGTGGGACCCGAGAAGCTGGAAAGAAGGGGATGGACTCAGCATATATGAATATTTTGGCAGGGCAGCTGAAAGGACTTGCAGATTGATTGGATGTAGGGGGAAGGAAGGAATATTAGGATGGCCCCAAGGCTTCCTGCCTTGAAAGTTACTATCTGTGTCACAGAAATGAAAGCAGGGGTCTTCACCAATTCAACACATGTTTATTGGGCACTGAGCTATATGTAGAAAATTGTGTCAAAGATGTGCTGACTTAAGTTTCCCCAAATGCCCGACCCATGGATGGTGTAAAGAAATGCTGATGCTGGGCGTGGTGGCTCAAGACTGTAATCCCAGCACTTTGGGAGGCTGAAGTGGGAAAATCGCTTGAGCCCAGGAGTTGGAGACCAGCCTGGGCAACATGGCGAAATTTTGTCTCCACGAACAAGCAAACTAAAACAAAAAATTAGCTGGGTGTGGTGGCACGAACCTGTAGTCCCAGTTACCTGGGAGGCTGAGGTGGGAGGATTGCTTGAGGTTGAGGCTGCAGTGACCTATGATCACAGCACTGCACTTCAGCCTGGATGACAGAAGAGACCCTGTCAAAAAAAAAAAAAAAAAAGGAGAGAAGAAAGAAAGAAAGAAAGACGAAAGGAAGGAAGGAAGGAAGGAAGAGGAAGGAAAGAGAGAGAGAGAGAAAGAAAGAAGGAAAGAAAGAAAGAAAGAAAAAGAAAGAAAGAAACCAAGAAACGAAGGAAGGAAGGAAGGGGAAGGAAAGAGGGAAAGAAAGAAAGAAAAGGAAGGAAGGAAGGAAGGAAGGAAGGAAGGAAGGAAGGAAACTGATAAACGAGCTTGAAGACTAGCTCCTTACCATGGCCCTGGCCTTAGCTCTGCGATCCTAGGCAGGTGAGCCAGTGTCTCTTAATTTACCCATAGAGGGGCAATTATAACAGTCCTTTGTACTCCCACTGAGTGTTAAGGGGGAAGACACAAATTACATGTAGGAAATAATTCTTTTAAGTTAAAAGCCCGTATGTGTTATTAGATCTAACACATTTGATATCTATGTACTGTTCAGCCTTTGGAATTATTAGTTAATACAAAGCCCAACCTGTCTTAAATCATGAAATGACCATTTTACAAAACCAATAATAGGAAGATGCTAAAATATGGGTCTCACCCTGTCATTCCCTTGCTTAAAGCCCTTTAGTGGATTACTGTGGTAGACAAAATAACGGTCCCCCCCAAAGGTGTTTACACGCTGTTTCCTTGAAACTGTGAACGTTATGTTACATGGCAAAGGGGAATTAAAGCTGCAGATGGAATTCTAGTTGCTAATCTCGGCTCACTGCAACCTCTGCCTCCTGGGTTCAAGCTATTCTCCTGCCTCAGCCTCACGAGTAGCTGGGATTACAGGTGCCCACCACCATGCCTGGCTAATTTTTGTATTTTTAGTAGAGATGGGGTTTCACCGTGTTGGCCTCGCTGGTCCTGAACTCCTGACCTCAAGTGATCCACCCACCTTGGCCCCCCAAAATGCTGGGATTAGAGGCGTGAGCCACCGCACCTGGCCAGAATCAGCTGATCTTGAGATGGAGAGATTATGCTGGATTACTCAGAGGGGCCCAACATAATCACAAGGGTCATTATTAGTGAAAGAGGGAGGCAGGAGAGTAGGAATCAGAGGGCATGAGATGACAGAAGCAGAAGTTGGAGTGGTGTAATTGCTGGGTTTGCAGATCGAAGGGGGCCCACAGCCAAGGGATGCAAGTTGAAAAGGCAAGGAAACAGATTATCCTAGAGCTTACAAAAGAAACTCAACCTTGCCGACACCTTCATTTTAGCCCAGTGAGACCCATTTCACACCTCTGACCTCAAGAACTGTAAGATACTACGTCTGTGTTGTTTTAAGTCACTATGTTGTGATTACAAGCAGCAACAGGAAATTCATACACTCACCAACACCTTTAGGAAAATGTCCAACCTGCTTAGCATGGCACACAAGGAGGCCTTGTGGGATGTGGTTTCTGCCACTGACTTTAAGCAAGTTTTTTTTCAACTTCTCTGGGCCTCAGTTTCATCATCTATGAAATAGGGAGAAAAAAAAAAAAACTCTCTGTAGGTCTGTAGTAATATTAAATGAGAGGACATGTTTCAAATACCTAGTAGAAAGACTGGAGCACAGTACATTATTATTATTATTACCATTGGCATTACTATTATCACAGAAAAATTGACAGAGTAAGAACCCTTGTCTCTACTCCCTTCACTAGGGCTATGTTTCCACATCTGTGAAAAAGGAAACAAGACCAAACAGGTGTGGAAGTCTTGTCTCTCCCCTCTACTCCACTCTTTCCTAGTTACTGATCTGTGTCGTGCTTTGCTTTCTCTAACTTCCAACTTCGCATGTGCTGTTCTCTCTGCCTGGAATGCTCTTCCCATCCTCCTTACCAAGCTAACTCTCATTTCCTCCTGGAAGTCTTTACTGACTCCTATTAGACTAGTTTAGAAACCACTATTGTGCATTCCCAAAGCATGCTAAACTTCCTCTATCATATTATTGCTATGGCCTGTGTTGTTTTTCATTGGGAAAAAAAATCTTAAATCCAGGTAAGGATACTTTGACCTATTTGCTTCAATTGTATTGTTTAAATAAAACAAAAACATTCTAAATAAACTTGAAGTAGTTAAGTTTCCTTTTCTCTCCCCACTTCCTTCACTCTCTCCCCAACTAGTATCATGAATTTAGTGCATATCTTTTGACAGGCGGGGATACTCACCACTATACTCACAAGGATTGACTATGGTGCATATCTTTTGAGTCTGTGTTTTTAAACTCTTACTATCTATACATACAAAAGAATATGAAATACACTTTATATGTGTTTATAATTAACACAAATTGTAACCTTTAAAAAACATTTCTCATTCTACAACTTTCTTTTATTCACTCAACAATAGGTTTTGGGAATATGTACATATCGATATAGCTCTGGATCATTCTTATCACTGTATGGTATTTTATTATTAGAATATATTGACTGGCTGTGGTGGCTCACACCTGTAATCCTAGCACTTTGGGAGGCCAAGACCAGTGGATTACCTGAGGTCAGGAGTTCACGACCAGCCTGGCCAACATGGCGAAACCATCTCTACTAGAAATACAAAAATTAGCTGGGCGTGGTGGTGGGTCCCTGTAATTGTAGCTACTAGGGAGGCTGAGGCAGGAGAATCACTTGAACCCGGGATGTGGAGGTTGCAGTGAGCCAAGAGCACACAATTGCACTCCAGCATGGGTGACAAGAGCAAAACTCCGTCTCAAAAAAAAAAAAAAAAGGAATCTATCCCATTTTATTCACCCATCACCCTACTAGTGGACATTTAGATTGTTTCTAATATTTTCTGCGTTATCAAGAACATTGCAAACAACATCCTTATACATATGACCTATGTAGTGGTGTAAAAATTTATTTAGGAAGGTTGTCACCTTGCACATTAACTACAAGATGAAAGGTATTCCATGGAGATGTGGGCCTATAGGATATTGTCTAGTAGTGGAATCTATAGGCTATTCAGTGGGCCTATAGGATATTGTCTAGTAGTGGAATCTCTGGGTTGTAAGGTTCCACAACTTTATGAGATACTGCCAAATTGCATTTCAAGGTGTGAATAGCATGTAAAGGCTCCCGTTTCCCCACGTCCTCACTAACATCTGACCTCATAAAAAACATTGACATATTTTATTTTTGTATAGTTGATGTATTTCAAATCATACAATTATTTTTATTTACATTTCTCAATTGGCTTACCGGCCATTTGAGTTTCTTCTGCTGAAAATTCCCTATTTATATCCTTTGCCCATTTTTCTTTTCTTTTGTAGGGGTGAGGGTGGGGATGTCTTTTCCTTAACGGTTTGAAGGAGTTCCTTGAGCACCAATCCTTTGTTATATATGTTCTAGATGTTTCCTCCCAGTCTGTAGCTTATCTGCTAATCGGATTTACCATGTCTTTTGTGCAGTGGCATGATTTCGGCTCACTGCAACCTCTGCCTCCAGGGTTCAAGTGATTCTCCTGCCTCAGCCTCCCGAGTAGCTGGGATTACAGGCATGTGCCACCACACCCAGCTAATTTTTGTATTCTTAGTAGACACAGGGTTTCACCGTGTTGGCCAGGTCTCGATCTCTTGACCTCGTGATTCACCTGCCTCGGCCTCCCAAACTGCTGGGATTATAGGCGTGAGCCACCACGCCCAGCCTGGCAGTTTAAATTTTGAGGTAGTCACAGATCATCTTTTTCCTTTATGAGTAGTGTTTTATTATTGTTTATCTAAGAAGTCCTTTCCCACCCCAAGATAATAAATATAACATGTATATGTCTTAAATATTTGTTATCATATTTATTTAATCCATTTAATTAGGCATCCATTTTTTCAACTCTATGGAAAGTAAATTTCTCAGTGCCATTTACCGAGTCCTCTATTTTTTCCCCAGTGATTTATAATGCCACCTCTATTGTACATCAAGTACACACACACGCACACACACACACACTCTCCCTCGTGTGTCTGTTTTGAAGCTCTACTCCTCATTGGCTTGGTAGGCAGAGAAGTGTCTCCTTGCCCCAACATATACACATTGTTCTTTTGATTTTGACAAGATTCCTCAAAAATCCTGATTGGATTGGGGAAAATACACGTCTTTCTGATATTGAGCCTTCCCATGCATGAACATGTATATCATTGCATTTATTTGATGTCCTTTCATAATATTTTGTAATTTTCTCTATGAGAATATAAACTCCATTAGGGCAAATGCTCTGTCAGTTTTCCTCTCTGCTGTATCTTCAGAGTCAAGAACAGAGCAGGACACAGAGTAGATGCTTCATAAGAATTTGTTGTTTAACATCTTTCATATACTTTATGAGATCTGTTTCTACATATCTTATATTTCTGTTGCTATATATTTTTATTGTAGTTTCCAATCAGCTATGGTTGGTATATAGAAATTCAAATGTCATTTTTGGGTTGTTTTTTTTTTTTTTAAACCTTTAATTTGTTCTAATACTCTGTAGATTCTTTGGATTTTTAAATGCAGACAGTTCTGATGGACACCTATTTCAGAAGAAGGGAAGAATGGATATTGTGTAGGCAACTAGCAGCATCTTCCACACTACTACTGTATGAAGCTAGAAGAGTCAGGTACTCTAGCCCTGGCAGCTAAAGCAGTTTGTGGACTTTAAATCTGAAACAAATAGTACAACAAAGCAGGTGTCTGTTGAGTATTCATTTGGCCAATTCCAGTACTAGTAGTGGTATCTATGGAGCAGAGGTGCTAGTAAAAGCAACAGCATCCAGTGCTATTTGCAGCAGTCATGTCAGTAGTGCTGTCTGATGTCCAGTAATAATCAGAAATGGCACCCCAATCAAAGTTTCTGCAAACTCTGATTTTGACCATAATTTTGATCAGCTAGACTCCCTGAATTCCTTCCCCATTTTTTGATTCTGATTTCCAACAACTCTGTGACTCATTCAATATCCTACCAATGAATTCCATTTCTATTTCAGTTAATCAAAGATAGTTTTTTTGTAACCAAGAATTCTGAACAATTAAACTCTCATGTTATCTGCAAATGATAACTGTGTCTCTTTCTTATATATGCATTCAAATAATGAAATGCATAGATCTTAAGTTTTCAGTTTAGTCAATTTTGACAAATGCGTATACTCAATATAACCCACATCTTTATTAAGAGATGGAAATCCCCATCACTCCAGAAAGTTCCTTCATCTCCTTCCCAGTCAACCCAACCTTAGTACTTTTAAAACAAAATGAGCTGGCTGGGTGCAGTGGCTCACGCCTGTGATCCCAGCACTTTAGGAGGTCGAGGCAGGTGATCACGAGGTCAGGAGTTCGAGACCAGCCTGGCCAACATGGTGAAACCCTGTCTCTACTAAAAATACAAAAATTAGCCAGGCGTGGTGGCATGTACCTGTAATCCCAGCTACTCGGGAGGCTGACACAGGAGGATCATTTGAGCTCAGGAGGCAGAGGCTGCAGTGAGCCGAGATGGTGCCACTGCGCTCCAACCTGGACGACACAGCAAGACTCTGTCTCAAACAAACAAACTACAATGAGCTATCACTGTAGTCACTAAAATGAAAAAGATGGACAACATCAAATGTTGGTGAGGCTATAGACCTTAAGAATTAGAAAGAGGCCGGGATAGCAAAGGTGACTGGCCGCGTTACTGACTGACTAAGTGACCGGGTGACTTAGTGAGTAACTTCTTTAAGTAAGGAAACTCAGTAAATTACATCTGGTAAATTACATTTACCAAAAGCTGACAACTTTTCAGACGCAGCGCTCTTAGTTTAAGGAAAGTGCAGTTGGAGGCGGCGGGGGGCAGAGGCAGCCAGCCTCAGAACGAATTGCCCTAGGGTCGCGGAGAGGCGGGCCTGGGAAAGAAAGGTTGAGGAAGCCGGGGGACCTAGGCTGCCAGGACACCCAAGAGCCTCCAGAGGCTCTGGTGGATCGGAGTCTGCGCACTCCGCCGAGAGCGTGCCTTTGGCTCGTCCAATCAGAGCGGCGGATCCAGCCGCTTCTCTGTCGCCTTGGCAACGGGACGCACAAGCACGCGCGGCGAGCTGTGGCGGTTTGGATCTGGCCCGTGGGGAATCGCGTTATGTCGCGACCCAAGGTAGGAGTCAACCTGACCCAGATGCTTTTATCGTCCCTAGAAAAAGGGAGGAAAGCCGCAGAGGGATTCAAAATCGGTTGGGGATGGGTGTTCCTCGCGGAATGGGTAGCAGGGTAGGGCGGGGGGAGGGGGTGGTGTTCTCGCGGAGGAATTCCGGAAAAAGGAAGAAAAAAAGTCGACGAACTTAGAGGAAAGACTACAACTCCCGGCACGCACCGCGCCGCCCAAGCTGCTGCGCAAGTCCAGCGAGCCCGGCCAGCTGGGGGGAAATTTACACAACAGTGGGATTCTGAGCTCCGTGACCCGTGGGGAAGTTGAACCTCAGAATTTCAGATTTCCTGATTTGGCGAAGCCCGCCTGCCCGTCCATCCATCCATCCATCCGTTTATCCATCCATTCAAAACAACGCTAATTAGTGTCTTTTCCGCCATCAAGCTCATTGCTGGCCGAGGGACACAGGTGAATCAGACAAACCTCTGCCCTCTAAGAGGGCACAGACCAATTCCCCCATTTTAAGAATGGGAAAAATGAAAGTCGAAGAGGGAAAATGAATTACTGTAAAATCCGCTCTCCTCACCCCAATCCACTTTTTTTTTTTTTTTTTTTTTTTTGAGACGGAGTCTCACTGTGTCGCCAGGTTGGAGTGCAGTGGCGTGATCGCAGTTCACTGCAGCCCCTGCCTCCCGGGTTCAAGCGATTCTCCTGCCTCAGCCTCCAGAGTAGCTGGGACTCCAGGCGCACCACCACGCCCAGCTAATTTCTTGTATTTTTAATAGAGACGGGGTTTCACCATGTTGACCAGGATGGTCTCGATCTCTTGACCTCGTGATCTGCCCGCCTCGGCCTCCCAAAGTGCTGGGATTACAGGCGTGAGCCACTGCGCCCAGCCTCCATCCTACTTCTTAATCCCAGCTCTCATTCATGAGTGGAACTTTCATTTCTCTGTCTTTCTTTTTTTTTTTTTTTTTTTTTGAGACGGAGTCTCACTGTGTCATCCAGGCTGGAGGGCAGTGGCGTGATCGCAGTTCACTGCAGCCCCTGCCTCCCGGGTTCAAGCGATTCTCCTGCCTCAGCCTCCAGAGTAGCTGGGACTACAGGCGCACGCCACGACGCCCAGCTAATTTTGTATTTTTAGTAGACAGGATTTCACCATGTTGACCAGGATGGTCTCGATCTCTTGACCTCGTGATCTGCCCGCCTCGGCCTCCCAAAGTGCTGGGATTACAGGCGTGAGCCACTGCGCCCAGCCTCCATCCTACTTCTTAATCCCAGCTCTCATTCATGAGTGGAACTTTCATTTCTCTGTCTTTCCTTTTTTTTTTTTTTTTTTTGAGACAAGGTCTCACTTTGTTGTTCAGGAGGGAGTGCAGTGGTGTGATCTTGGCTCAGTCGACTTCCTGAGCTCAAGCGATTCTCCTGCCTCTGCTTCCCAAGTAGGTGGGATTACCAGTGTGTACCACCATGCTCAGCTAATTCTTTTTTAGTTTGTGTAGAGACAGGAGTCTCTATGTTATGTTGCTGTGTTGCCCAGGCTTGTCTGGAACTCGTCCTCAAACCATCTCCCGCCTTGGCCTCTCAAAGTGCTGGGATTACAGGCATGAACCACTGCACCTGGTCAGCCTCTTATTTCTTTAATTCCCTTTCCCAACAAAAAGTGAGTTTATCTGCTTTCAGAGTGCCTTGAACTTCGCCTTTTTACTACAATTCATTACTCATGTGACTGTTTGTTTAACATCTGTCTTCCCCGCTGCTCTGGGATCTAATCTGACTTGTTCTTCTCCGTATTCCCGGTCCTCAGCACAGAGCTGACTACAGTTGATGCATATTGAATGACTGTTGAACGACTTACCTAGATGCTCAGCTAAAAAACTGCGACTGTTGGCTCCTCCATCTTCCTCACATCCCACATCCAATAAAAGCCTCCTTCCTCTAACTTTCTGAATATGTCTTGAATTTATTTTTTCCTCTACCTCAACTACTATGCTAATCATGACCAAACTCTCAAATTTCAAAAATTAATACTCTTTAAACACACAGATTGGGACACATATAACTTTTTTTTTTTTTTTTTTTTTTTTTTTTTTGGAGACAGGGTCTCATTCTGTTGCCCAGGCTGGAGTGCAGTGGCATGAACACGGCTCACTGAAGCTTCAACCTCTTGGGCTTGAGTGATCCTCCTGCCTCAGCTTCCCGCATATCATTTTATAAAAATATTATTAAGAAAAAAGAAAACAAACATCTACTGAAATAGTCCCTTCCCATGAACCCAACTGATTCCTTTGAAAGGAAGGACGAACTGCAGTTTGCTGAAGAATGCACAAACTCTTAGCAGTCTACACTGTGAATATAGTTTAGACATGGGTGTAGCAGACCACGTTGGATGAAGGAAAAAAATAGTGGACTACTTCTTTGTGAAACGATGAATTTTGTTTTTGTTGTTGGAAAGGGAAACACAGGTCTCCTATATATTGACTTAGGACTTTGCGGTTTCTTTCAAATGACCCAGGGGAAATAGGAGTATGAATTTATTTGAACAGGATCATTCATGTCAGCCTTAAGAGAACATGCCGGGATATACTTTGTGTACTCTCACAAAAACATGCCCAGAGAAGGCCAGAAGTCAGAATACTACATGTTCCAACCATTGACCTCATCTCCTCAAGGTGATGGTCGCCAAGACCTCAGCTCCAAGGCATGTTGGGAACTCTTCAGAGGGCTAAGGGGAAATGAGGAATTGGATCAGGCAGGAATGAAACTGGGGTTAGTGGAACCAGCTAAGCAATGAAGCTGATCTCTGGTTAGATGATCAAAGTCTACTCACAATGGGTAGGCTGGTGTGGCAAACTGGTTTCAGCATGACTGTCTCCACCTGGTGGGTAGTACCAGGGAGCTCAGAGCAGGACTCCAGGAATAGAGCCAGGAATGAAGGCAGCTGGCAATGTCACAATCCTATGCTCTTTTTGACTCAACACCAACTGGTGCCATTCATGCTACCCTCCATGAATGGCACCAATGAGAAATAAAAGTTCTCTGTTTGTAGCCCATACAAGCAACCAAGCCACTTTTGAATCATTTTCTCAATAAGATCATTTTTTTAAAAAGTCTTGTAGCCTTATCTTTTCTAAATGCATTATTTTAGTGGTTTGGGGAAAGTTTATATTCCTGGGCTGTTTTTTGGGTCAAGATAGTAATAGGACTTCTATCTTAGGCAATATGACAGATGAGATTTCTTGAAAAGCTTATTAACACAACACACTTAAAACTGTTGGCCAAAATATAACAGATATCCTTTGAACTGTGTAACTGACCTGCGTATGTGGAGGGGCAAGGATTGGTAGAAGAAAATTCCCCAAGGGACCACCACCCTAACACAGACAGACACACACACACACACACACACACACACACACACACACGAAAAATAAAAAACAGAATTGTCACTAACTGATTCTTCATTCGTCATTTTCCTTGGGGAAATCATTGGTTGTCTCACAAACAGGAGTTGAAGTGTCATGGGGCCCACTGGGCAAGGAGTTGGAACTGAGACCTCACCATAAAGCTGGACCCTTCAGAGACCGCCACCCTTAGTAAAGGTGTAATTAGAACCAATTTACCCTTCAGCAGTGGGAGACAACTAGGAAGCTCGGCAGCTTCAGTGTAGGGGAAAAAACCTTTCTCCTGAGAAATCTTTTTTTTTTTTTTGTGACGGAGTCTTGCCGTCGCCCAGGCTGGAGTACAATGGCACCATCTCTGCTTACTGCAAGCTCTGCCTCCCGGGTTCAAGCGATTTGTCTGCCTCAGCCTCCTGAGTAGCTGGGATTACAGGTGCTCGCTACCACCCTGGCTAATTTTTGTATATTTAGTAGAGACAGGCTTTCACCATGTTGGCCAGGCTGGCCTCAAACTCCTGACCTTGTGATCCGCCTGCCTCAGCCTCCCAAAGTGCTGGGATTACAGGCATGAGCCACGGCGCCCAGCAATAATTCTTAACCTTAGATGAGTCCTCAGGCTAGTCTGAGAAATGCTAAATAAGATGTTACCATAAAGTTTACTGTTCTTGGGGGCCCAGGCAGATGTAAATGCTAAACATCTCGGAGTCAAACATCTTTGACTCCTATAATGGTCAAATTACATAATAATTACATAATAAAAGATGGTTTTTTTTTTTTTTTTTTTTTTTTGAGACAGAGTCTCGCTCTGTCGCCCAGGCTGGAGTGCAGTGGCCGGATCTCAGCTCACTGCAAGCTCCGCCGTCTGGGTTTATGCCATTCTCCTGCCTCAGCCTCCCGAGTAGCTGGGACTACAGACGCCTGCCACCTCGCCCAGCTAGTTTTTTGTATTTTTTTTTTAGTAGAGACGGGGTTTCACCGTGTTAGCCAGGATGGTCTCGATCTCCTGACCTTGTGATCCGCCCGTCTCGGCCTCCCAAAGTGCTGGGATTACAGGCTTGAGCCACCGTGCCCAGCCTAAAAGATGTTTTAAATGAATTATATAATTGCATAATTGTATAAGAAAAGATGTTTTAAATAAGTTTTTAAAAAAAGCCTGTTCATGATAAACCCTCAGAAAACCAGGGAATAGTGGGAAATTTACTCAATTTAGTACAGGAAACTATAGGAATCTACAGCCAGTGTCATTCTTAAAAGCTGAAATAGAGAATGCATTCCTCTTATGATCAGGAGCAAGATAAGGATGTCAGCTGTTACCACTTTTAGTCAACTTTGTACATACTAGAGTTTTCACCAGTGGAATAAAGCAAGAAAACTAAATAAAAAGCATAAATATTGAAAAGAAAGAAGTAAGTCTGCCTTTATTCACAGATGACATCATTGTATCCAGAGAAAACTCAAAGGATTTACAAACTACCATAACTAATAATTCAGCAAGGGCGTCAAATACAAGGTCAATGTACAAAATCAATTATACTTCTATATATGTATCGGTTTCCAATTTGTGACAAATTGTCACAAATTCAATGGCTTTTAAAAACACTAACTTACTATCTTACACTTATTTATTTATTTGAGATGGCGTCTCACTCTGTCACCCAGGCTGAAGTGCAGTGGCACAATCTCAGCTCACTGCAACCTCTGCCTCTTGGGTTCTCCTGCCTCAGCCTCCTGATTAGCTGGGATTATAGGTGTGCACCACCATCCCGGCTAATTTTTGTAATTTTTAGTAGAGATGGGGTTTCACCATGTTGGCCAGGCTGGTCTTGAACTCCTGACCTCAAATGATCTGCCTGCCTCGGCCTCCCAAAGTGCTGGGATTACAGGCGTGAGCCACTGCGCCTGGTCCCTATCTTACAGTTAATGAGATCAGAAGTCTGAAAGGGTTCTCGCTGGGCTAAAATCAAGGTGTTAGCAGGGCTGCCTTCATATCTGGAGGCTCTAGGAGAGAAGCCCTGTTTTTTGCCTTTTCTAGTTTCTGGAGACTGTCTCATGGTCCCCTTTCATGTTCAAAGTCAGTTCTTCTCACAGTGTGTGACTCTGCCACTCTGACATTGACTCTGCCTTCTTCCACATTTAAGGATCCTTACATTGGGCCCACACAGAAAATACAAAATAATCTTTCTATTTTAAGGTTCTTTGATTAGCAACCTTAATTCCATCTGCAATTTTAAATTCCCCTTGCCATATAATGTAACACATTGATAGGTTCTAGGGATTAGGACACGGACATCTTTGGAGATGGACTTTTTCTGCTTATTATAATTTACTATCATCAGGTAGAAAATGAAATTTGAAAATACTGTATCCAATAGCATCATAAAATAAAAAACCCATGAATAAATTTAATTAAAAATGTACAAGGCTGCTATACTGGAAACTAGAAAATAGTGTAGAAAAATTTTTTTAAAACATTTAAATTAATGGAGAGACCATATTACTCATGGATTGGAAGGCTCAGTACCTTATAATGTCGCTTCCTGAAAATATCTGTAGATTCAATGCAATTCCAGTCAAAATCTCAACATGTTTTTTCGTAGAAATTGGCAAGCCAATTCTGAAATTTATGTTGAAGTACAAAGGACCCCTAATTGCAAAGACAATCCTGAAATCAGAATTTACTCTACCTGACTTCAGGATTTACTAGAAAGCTACAGCAGTAATTAAGCCAATGTGATAGTGACATAAGGATAGACAAATAAATAGAACAAAACACAGTCTCGAGATAGATCCACATACACATGGTCAATTGAATTGTGACAGACGTGCCAATGCAATTCAATGAGGAGAGGAAAATTTTTTTAACCAAAGGCTCTGGAGCAACTGGATAAACATATGGAAAATGGAATTGAAAGCCTGAGAGAGGATTAAAGATAAAATACAAAAAGACAAGGACAGCTTGACTAGTGTTGGGGGAGTTGGAAGGGCTTGAATGGAAGAATGAAAGAAGATTTCACTGTGTTTCAGTGGGGCTTGCTTCTGCCAGTTTTGTAAAGCAGTATCCTCCACTCCTCTCCGCCGCTCTTTGAGGGGTAGGCTGGTGTGCTAAGCAGAATTCTAAGATGGGCCCCAAGATTCCCACCCCCTGGCGTACATGCCTTGTACAATTATCTCTCCTTGAGCATGGAGGAGTCTGTGAATTTGATGGTATGGTTACTATGGTGATTACCTTCCATTACTTAAGACTCCATCATAGGTGACTTGGAGAGGGGAGGATTGGAAGTTAGAGGGATGTGCTCCACGTGGCCTGGAGGAAAACAAACGTGCATGTTGTGAAGTGCCTATGGGGGCCACACTGCAGGGAGCTGCAGGCAGCCTCTAGGAGCTGAGAGCAGTCCCCAGCAGACAGCTAGCAAGTAAACAGAGACCTCCATCCTACAACCCCTGGCAACTGAATTCTACCAACAACCTGAATGAGCTTGGAAGGGGACCCAAGCCCCAGATGAGAGCCATAACCCCAGCCATCACCTTGACTGTGGCCTTGTGAGAGCTGAGCGGATGATGCAGCTAAGCCATGCCCACGATCCTGGCCCATGGAAACTGAGATAATGGATTCCCATCATTTTAAGCCACTGATTTTGTGATAATTTGTTACCCAGCAATAGAAAATGAATGCAGATGGCAGGTCTGTCCCAGCTGCAAATGTCATCCTGCACAGGACCAATTTCGATTTCTCTCGTCATACGTGCCTTAGGAATCGGTCTTCCCAGGACAGAGGGCCAAGCTGTTTTGGACATGGTTGAAGTGAAATAATACCCACCACCCACTGAGGATTTGAAAGGTCCATTTGGGGTGAAAGGAATTGACATTGCTCTGAGTCTTTGACCTAGCCCCTTCTGGGATCAATTTAATCAAACATTCCAAGTTAAGAGTAGAAAGTCCAGATCGGCTAGGTGTGGTGGCTCACACCTGTAATTCCAGCACTTTGGGAGGCTGAGGCGGGCGGATCACCTGAGGTCAGGAGTTCCAGACAAGCCTGGCCAACATGGCGAAACCCTGTCTCTACTAAAAATACAAAAATTTGCTGGGTGTGGTGGTGGGCACCTTTAATTCCAGTTACTAGGGAGGCTGAGAATCACTTGAACCCAGGAGGTGGAAGTTGCAGTGAGCTGAGATTGCGCCACTGCACTCCAGCCTGGGTGACAGAGCGAGACTCCATCTCAAAAACAACAAGGAAAAAAAAAGTTCAGATCCTTCTCACACAGTGTATTGAGCTGAGCTTTCAAAACTGGGGTTCAGGGCTGACCTTTGGAGTACTGAAAATCAGGCATTTGCTATACTGGTCATATCTGTGGAGCAAACCTGCAGTAAGGTGGTACCTTGGATACTTGGGAGTTCATTCATAGCAGATAAATTCTGGTCCATTTGCTGGGGACATGGTGGCCAGTGGGAACTTGATCAGACTGGACCTTCATGTCTCAGAACCTAGGCATTATTGAGTCTGATGGTTTCGGCATTTTAATATGTGCAGTAAGTTAACCTAGGAAAGCAGGGCAGATATACAAAACCAGTTACAGCCTTTTCCTTTCCTCATTGCAGAACCAAAATTACAAGGGCCATGGATTGTCAAAGGGAAAAGAGCGGTGAGTGGTCCCATCCAATCCAACAATCACAGACAACCAACCTCCCTCCCTGCCTCCCCTTTTCAATCCCTCTCTCACTTTTCTACTTCAACAATTATAATGAAAATGATAGTAGAAGTAGTAAAGCTAAACCATTATTGAGCACTTACCATGTGCCAGGCTCTGGGCCTGTCACTTTACCTGTATTGGCTCATTGAATCCTGACCCCAACCATTTGAAGTAGATACTACTATTGTGCCCATTTTACAGATGGAGAAACTGAAGCTCAAAAAGGCTAAGTGACTTGCTCAAGATCACATGATCAGTTAGGGGCAGAGCTTGTTAGACTCCAGGGCCCACTATCTAACTTTGGTCTCTCCTGCCTCCTTCAACAACCCTGTGATGACTTGATGACTTGCATGTCAGCTGTCCTCTGATCTGCTTCACTCTGCATCAACAACCTGGATGCCAAACCCAGCACCCCTTTGGATCTCCTAAAGAGAATCCACTTGCACAAAGCAGGAGTGAACAATGTAGACTTTATTGAAGATTTTTGTGGGGAGTTAGAGGAGGCAGTTTACATAGCAAATGTTTTGATAATCTATTCTCTGGCTCATTAGATATTTCTCTCTCTCTCTCTCTGTCTTTCTCTCCTTTTCTTTTCTTTCTTTTCTTTTCTGTTCTTTTCCTTTGAGTTTCGCTCTTGTTACCCAGACTGGAGGGCAATGGCATGATCTCAGCTCACGGCAAACTCTGCCTCCTGGATTCAAGTGATTCTCCTGCCTCAGCCTCCCGAGTAGCTGGGATTACAGGCATGCACCATCATGCCCAGCTAATTTTGTATTTTTAGTAGAGACAGGATTTCTCCATGTTGGTCAGGCTGGTCTCGAACTCCCGACCTCAGGTGATCCACCTGCCTCGGCCTCCCACAGTGCTAGGATTACAGGCGTGAGCCACCGTGCCCAGCCAGATATTTCTGTTCTTTCTAAAGTCCCTCCTGGCTATACCACCACTGAAGAGGGCATGTGTGATTTGGGATGCTTCTCTCATGCAGCGCCCATCTTCTTTGCCTTCTTTCTCTCCATACTGACTATCCCACCAACTTCAAATCTCTCACTCTCTTATGCAGGGCAACTCAGCAATGTTCCGGATCCTGGCCCTAAACATACATGCCCACCCGACCCCCTTCCCAACAAAACAAAGAGCACTTAACAGGCCTGTGTTAGGCTGCTTTTGCATTGCTATAAAGGAATAGCTGAGACTTTTTATTTATTGATTGATTTATGTTGAGACAGAGTTTCGCTCTTGTTGCCCAGGCTGGAGGGCAATGACCTGATCTTGGCTCACTGCAACCTCCACCTCCCAGGTTTAAGCGATTCTCCTGCCTCAGCCTCCCGAGTAGCTGGAATTCCAGGTGCCCGCCACCATGCGTGGCTAATTGAGACTGAGTAATTTATAAAGAAAAGAGGTATAATTGGCTTATGTTTCTACAGACTGTACAAGCATGGCACCAGCATCTGCTCAGCGTCTGGTGAGGCCTCAGGGAGCTTACAATCGTGGTGGAAGGCAAAGGGGGAGCAGGCATGTCACATGGCAAGAGTGGGAACAAGGGAGAGATCCCAGGCTCTTTTAAACAACCAGATCTCCCATGAACTGAGTGAAAACTCACTTATCACCAATGGGATGTTGCCAAACCATTCATGAGGGATACGTTTTCAGGATCCAATCACCTCCCACCAGGTCCCACCTTCAACACTGAGAATCACATTTTAACTTGAGACTTGGAGGGGACAAACATCCAAACCATATCAAGGCCCCATCTACTTATTTCATAAAGGCGCACACACACACAGGTATTTACCATAAAACATTTTTTATTTATGTGCCTTATTAGGGCACATGTAGATATGTGTTCCACTACCAGTAAGAGAAAACTCGTAATAGTAGCTTAAACAAATTGTATTTATTTTCTTCACATTACAAAGAGCCTGGAGTGCTGGTACAGTGGTTCAACAATGTCAGAGCCAGCGTCTTCATGATTGCCTTTTTTTTTTCTTTTTTTGAGATGGAGTCTCACTCTGTTGCCCAGGCTGGAGTGCAGTGGTGCGATCATGGCTCACTGCAGCCTTGATCTCCCAGGCTCATGCAATCCTCCCATCTCAGCCTTCTGAGTAGCTGGAACTACAGGCTCATGCCAGTGCACTTGGCTATTTTTTTTTTTTAAACTCTTGCTCTGTTGCCCAGTCTGGAGTGCAGTGGCGTGATCTCGGCTCACTACAGCCTCCACCCCAGAGGTTCAAGTGATTCTCCTGCCTCAGTCTCCCTAATAGCTGGAACTACAGGCGCCCACCAGCACACCTGGCTAATTTTTGTATTTTTAGTAGAGACGGAGTTTCACCATATTGACCAGGCTGGTCTCGAACTCCTGACCTTGTGATCCACCCGCCTTGGCCTCCCAAAATGCTGGGATTACAGGCGTGAGCCACAGCACCCAGCCTCACTAATTTTTTTAAATTTTTGTTTTTATTTTTTGTAGTTATGAGGTCTCACTATGTTGCCCAGGCTGGTCTCCAACACCTGGCCTCAAGTG